TACAACTGATATGGGTGCCGGGGCATGAGGGTATTGCTGGAAATGAAACAGCAGATCAATTAGCTAAGATTGGAGCTGAACTTCCATTCATAGGACCTGAACCAGCCTGTGGCATCTCTGTAGGAGTTGGAAGACAGGCAATCAGGGACTGGACAAATATGAAACACAAGAAATACTGGGGATTGACTGGACTCAGGCAAGCAAAGGGACTCATACAAGGACCCTCTACTAAAAGAGCGAAGGAGTTGTTGAAGTCAAACAGGAACCAGCTATGATGGGTGGCAGGACTACTTACAGGACACTGTCACCTTAAAGGACACCTCTTCAAACTGGGACTAACTGATAGTCCCACTTGTGAGAGGTGTCGAGAAGAAAATGAAACAGCCACACATATCCTGTGCGAATGTGAGGCCTTAGCTTATTTAAGATTACGTCACTTGGGCCAATACTTTATGGAACCAAGTGACTATTTCGACGCCCCCACATACAAAATCCTACGATTCATTTGAAGCGCAGGATTGCTGAGGGGATAATCAAAAGGGGAAGCACAATAGACCACTGTAGGTCGTGGTGCAAGAGCTGAGAAAGCCTACCCCTCATACATTCACTCATTCATTCATATCTATACCGTAGATAACTTACCGCTTATACAGAAGCCTCTTCTACGTGTCTACAATATAAAATATAAAGCCATCTCTGTATGTCTATATTAATGCCTGTAGATGCCTCTCCCTACAAGCCTATATGACAAAAGAATATGACCGACCTCTACAGCACTGCATTATCTAATATGTCTTACCTGTATTATGGCCCATATAGAAGCCTCTTCATGCATGGCTACATTACAGTACCTATACTCACCTTTCTATTTCAGTATATTGCCACTTATGTAGACTCCTCTATACTCAACAGAGGCACTGTTCTGCTAGTCCTTATAGAAGTGGCTGTACCTCAGTATAAAAGGAAACCTCTCATATTTCCTTTATTAATGCCAATATAGTTTACTCTCTGGTAAAGATAATCTGAATGAACATTGAACTTACTTCCCTCCATAATTGGGCTGTCATGCTTATCTTCTTGGTGTAGACCAGCCAGATTCAGTGCCCCCATTAGTCCCAATTCACTCACAAATTATTGCATCTGCAACACCTGGATACAGAAACTCATGGTTCCCGTGACATCTGCATAAATGCACAATCCAGCCAACGCTGCCTGCTTCGATTATGGCATTAATTTTCTTAACAGGTCAGAGGGAGGGGTGAGTTCAGATGCTTACACATAACATAGATTTCATTCTTCTTTAGTCCATATATTCTTTTCAGCACCGTTCTCAAAAACCCTCAGTCTATGTTCTTCCCTTAATTTCAGTGACCAAGTTACAGGCAACAATATAGTTCTGTAAATTTTATGTTTTTAGCCAGAAGATGAGAAGACAAAAGCTTCTGAACTGAATGGTGACAGGCATTACGCAAATTCAATCTGCTCTTAATTTCATAATGAATCAAATTTATTTGTTACTGTCATCCCCAAGTATTTTAACTTTCCAATATTTTCAGAAAATCTATTAGCTATCTTTTACGTCATCATGTCCTGCATTCTGGTTATGAGGCATCAACATGTATTTAGCTTGCTCTGTTACCTCTTGACATTTATGTTACCTGCCAGTAGATTTACATCATCAGCAGAGGCAGAGGATCATGTGTCCCATTCAGTTTCAGTCACACCTGGTTTTCCTGGACCATCCTAATGGCATATTCTAAATCAAAGTTGAAAAGAAATGATGAGAAAGCACATCATATTTTGAACCTTTCTGAAGAGGAAATGTATCTCTATTATCATTATTGAGAGTTATTCTAAGTATTTTATAATAATTACGCAGAGTGTGACATAGCTCATCTCTTGCACACACGAAGCGGCCTATTTCCCAGATGGACCACACACACACACACACACACAAAGACACCAGAAACCCCCTGGTGATTTAGTTCAGCATTTCTTGGAATTTTGGTTCCAGAGTCGCTCGGCGACTCACTTTGGAAATTTGACTCTTGACAGTTTCTGCTAGTCTTAAGTCACACGAAGGCATGCCAGGAGGGGACGCTATGGCCAGTATACATCATTGCCTTCAAAAGTTACGTTAGGTCATTAAAGAAAAAAATTGCCTCTAGAGTAAAAATGATTGGAAGTAGCGGATTCAGAGTCAACTCCCTTATTTCAAATCTGACCAATCCTCAAAAGTCGAGGGTGTGACTTGGGAATTTCGCGAAAACTGGAGAGGGTCACATCTCTTCAGAGAAATAGTCTTCAAACAGTCTTCAAACAGTCTTCAAATACTCTTCAAACAGTCTTCGAGTAGTCATAGTCTTCAAATACTCTTCAAACAGTCTTCAAAAAAAAAAAAGTGGTGGTCCAGCCAGGAAGAAAAATTCAGATGCAAATCCAACAACACATGTAGCTAGGAACAGTTGTGTTTGGCAGTGTCAGCACCTGGTGTATTGCTATGTATGTGAACTGTGTTTTGTTTTACGCTTTCTTCACAAAAAAAAATAATAAAGCATACTCACATGCAAAGGGCAAGTGTATCATTAGACGCTTCTGCCTCCCTGTCTCAGCGAGGCCCGTAAAAAAGATCCTGAGACAGTCTCATCTCTACCTTCTGAGGTAAAGAAAATTCACCTGTGTTCCTTTGGCAAAGAGCATCAGCAACAGCCGCTGCAGGCGGAAGCCAGGTGAAGGAACAGGAAGGTAAAAGGGGACGGCGACAACAAGAAGGAGACACCCAACGTAAAGGGCATTACAGAGAGAGCGGTTATAAAATCTCAAATACTGTTATAGGTCCAAACTTAAGGGACACTCTGTAGTATAGGACATACGACACACGTATATTACCTTGACATTGTAGAGCTATAAACTAATTGAAAATAGTATAAATTTATGTACTACAAGTTTTATATATGAATTTAATGTCTCAACACCTTGTAAATTGTATGTTTCTCAACATACATTCCTTTAATATACACTTACATCACAACCCATTAATTCTTCCTGCATATTTCACTTTCCCTAAAACTGCCTATGTATGGAATTACAATGTCTGTACTTATATTTATTTATTTATTTAAACTTGAAGTTACCATCATTACTTGTTTGTTAATACTATTAAATTCATATCTACCAATATTCGACATTTACAGATATTCTACACAAAAGTCTCATTCAATACAAGTACCTACCTACCTATCTACCTACCACCGCTACAGCACTGGGTGAGCCTTGGCCTCCTCTACAACCAGTCTCCACAACCAAAGCTTGCTGCCATAGGAATGGATCCACGCATGATGACCCGAGACTGGTTGTTGGGTTTCTGAAGAAAATTCTTTTTACAAGATGAGGTTGTTAGCCTCATGCCCAACCCCCAACCTGGAGGACCAGGGTATCTCTCTTAGTCTTGACTCTACCCTTTGACCTTTCTGGCATGGGTGACCCTACTGGTAGTTAAACTACCACTGGCATAGCTCTCCAGGTCACGGAGTCTGCAAGCCCCACCACCATGACAAGGCGGAGACACCTTGGGGGGGTTCAATACAAGTATTAGCAAGCAAATACACACACTGTTTCAATTATTTTTGAACTCCTCACATAATTATAATTTATGATAACTTAGGAACTGGAAACTGAAATGTAATATATTACATGAGAAAAATTGTCTTTCTTGCTTTTTGTCATGCCCTATTTTCTACTCTACAATTAAAAAAGCAATACAGTTTAGTGGAACTTTTGGTATATCTTAAAGGTAAAGATATTGTAACGTAAACACGTTACAATGGTGTCAGAAGTGGGATTTGAACTTACACACGGGACCAACGAGCTTCGAACTCGAGACACGTTACAGTGCCTGTTGCGTGCCACATCACAGGAGTTGTTGACTGCTGCCTGGCAACCGCGATATCCCTTGGTGACGTCACCGCTTTTGACTCGCGTTGCATAGTTACCAGGTTTCGGGAGCTCGGCTAACTCCACCTCCGCTCGGCTCACTTCGGCTCCGCTCGTGACGTCAGCGCGGGGAGAGTGGCAGGGTGATGACTCGCCTATTACGCGAGCGCTACGTTACCGCTACGTGCCGCTGGGGAGGTAGGGGTCAACATGTCACAATATCCTTGTAACAGGCTGCAGTGGACCATAAGGTTGTAAGAGGTTAAGGCTCTCACACTTTCTTGACAATCAGCTCACAAATGGCAGTAAGGATGCCAACCTTACATGCCTGCTGCCATTTACCCCAGGAAGACTCCTGGTACTCATTTCTATTAGAGGTTGAGTCAACCCCCAGGGCCATAGTGCGGCTGGAAGGATTAGGTCAACTGGAAAATCCAATGACCTCATCAGGACTCGAACCCACGATTTTCCAGCTTGCCACATAGTGCCTCAACCATGCGACTGCATTCCCCCTTGGTGTATCTTATTCTTAAAAAATTATACTGTGTTATTTCCTCTCCAAAAAATCTCCATGAATGAATGCAACAAATATACCATCACATTCAAGACAAAGTGCATGTATAATTGTGTACAAATATGACACCAGGACAAACGTTAAGAAGGCAAAATGGTTTTTGTTTCCTTGGTATTAGCAATTCTGTGTAACACCTGGACATGAGTGACTTCCATCACACTAATATGGTGTAACAACAATGTCTAGGATATAACTTGCATTGTGTGAGGTGCAGGTGCAGTTGAGTCTTTATGTAGATGATTTCTATAACATGAGAATAACATGACAAATTACTTTGTGTTTAATAATTTAATGGTTAATTCTTCTTGGAAGTTCCATGTATATATACACACACATACATATATGATGCAAGCGGCACTGTATAATAGGAAATATAATTCTTACATTTTCGTGGTTGAACCATAAAAGCTAAGATCCAAGTCCAATTTTCATACAACATCTTTGTATCCAGAGAACAAATATGATGATTATTTTTGAGAAAATTATAATATCTGACAATTGTTTATACATAACAAATTTATATACATGTGAAAAAATAAAATAAAATATATAAAGAAAAAAAACGAGAAAATAAAATATTTTAAGATAATTATTATTTGCATAACATAAGTTGTAAAGATTACACTAAAATAACATAGCATATATACTACACTGATTTTACCATGTACATATTCACTTTCATTCAGATTTTAAGTGTTCTGCTTTTAACATAGAAGTTTGTACATATCGAGCAATAAACCATTACATTTGTTGGGGCACATTTTCATTTTCATGTTACATATTGACCTTTTCAATTCAGCATAGTCAAATATAATGATACGCTATAAGTAACCCCTTAAAAATTCTTCCTGCAATTGAATTCTTTGTATTACAGATTCCAGATATGTGCAGTGACGCTTTGTAACTTAACTAATAACTATGTTGTTATGTTCCACTTTGGTAAATCATAATGCAGTAGTTTCCATGCACACATAGTACACAACAGATGCTAGCAGAATGAAAAGAAATTTCTTGATGAAAACACTGTTTAACAATTATGAATATTATATTAATTCTGTAATAAAAATACCTGACAGTTTCTGCTTGGGATTAGTGAAATCTATAACTGCCTGGAATTCTTGCATATCTTCCCAAATGTATGAAGGATGACCGTTTCACTGTAATTCTCAACTAGAACAGCAATAATGTGAAAACTGAACAATTGTTAAAGCACCACTATACAAACCAATAATTCAGAATTATATTATCAATCACACAACAACTATATATCCAAAAATAGTATTACAATAAAAATTTGGCACTACTATGAAGAATGTTAAAATGATAATCATATGGATGAAGCAAAGAAGTGCCATATTTAGATCTACAATTTGTCTGCAATTTGTTTGAAAAGAAATCTGCACACCACATACTTCTAAGAACAGGAAGAATTACTACTTATCATCAACATATTTTTCAAGGTTTACATTCAGAATTAAGTCTTTACTTTTATATGGTTTTCCTCTTCTACCTGTATCTTTAGGTATTCAGTGTTTTCATATTTTTATCAGACCTATGAGTACTTTCTCCCATTGTCTCTAAATGAGGGGAACCAATATTTTCTTAGAATGTGGTAGTCAAACAGTTAATGAACATTTTCAACAGTCACCAAAAAATGCAGTACTTGTGTGAAACTTCAAGTTTGAGCATAAAAGCATATGTAGAAAAGGTATGGGCAGAGGTACTTTCTGCCATACTAAATGTACAGGGACTTACAAAGGCACCACAGTCTGTTTCACTCAATGAATATTGTTATTTTCATAACTCAGTGCACAAATAGGTTGCAAGATGGCTTGAGAAGACATACTCACAAACCTATGTCATGATCAAAGCACTGGCTACAGAGACACAATCATAAGTTGGGTGGCAGCATACAAATAGTTTAGGCATTACAAGGACTGAAAATCCCTGGAAGATGATCCATGAATGAGAAGACCAGTGGTAGCTTGTAATAACGAGGCCACTGCACACGTTTGAGGATCATCTGAGAGGACCAGAGACAGAGCAGTACAACATCCACAAAACAATGTATCTTTCATCATCAGCATAAAGTCAGGCTGGCCAGTCCACCATAACACTGCACCAGCCTGTCAGTCCCTTAGTACCAGTATCTGACCAGAATGGTATCACTATGCCTCCACCAGCTCCATACTCTCTACATCCAGACCCTGCTAATTCCTATCTGTTCTCTAGAATGAAACGCCTCTTGAACAGAAGCAGGTTCCAATCAGCAGATGAGATGAATGAGCGTACAATTAGCACTTAAAAAATTATCTGGAACAGGCCTACAGGGTGTTTGCAGCAGCTGCACTTATATAACTGCTGGAAGAATTACTCTGAAAATAGTATATAGTAAAACCTGCTCTGACAGGCAAGGTCACATGGCCATAAGACCATGAATGTTTGCCTCTACCATGTATATCCTTAGTATAACAGTCACTTCTTATCCTGACTAAAATATCCCACTCACTTTATTAAGCTCACGTTAGGACATATTACAGATCTACTGCCACAAATACATAGCCCACAGAGAAAGCATGATTTTAGTGTGGGTGTAAATTAATATTTTATGATGGCAAAATGAGAGCCACTGCTCCATACTGTCTCTTTGAAATATGAAAAAAAATATTGCTATTGTTTCTAAAACATTTCATATAATATCAAGAAGAAAAATATTAAACAAAAATTCAGTTTTTTTTTACTAAACAGTGCGAAATAAATTAGACGGTCAAGCAACAAATCATTCATCACCTGAAGGACTGACCAAAACAGCCACTCCAGAAAACAGTCAAACTTGCAACCTGATCATCCCAGAGCCCTTTAAACTTACAGTGCTCTTGTGATGTGCTCAAGTCCTGAATGAACTGCTTTTGATGAATATGAAGGAATCCATTCTATGAGAAACACTATACATTACTGGAAGTATAACAAATTTACATACTGAACTTGATACTTTAAATGTGACTTCTGCCAAACTGTGAGTGTCCCATACTGGAGTGACTGTATTTTTCACACATAAAACACTGCTTAAAAGCTAAGCAACATTCTATTAGTTTCTTAAACATTTAATACAAATGTTTCCTCTGTATCAGTATAATCTGTACATACCTCATCTTATGACTATGGTAACCACAATGATAGTGACAATAATTATGATGGTGTCAACAATGGCCCTCTATGCAACAGTGTTGGTTGATGACACGACACCTTGGGGCTTCCAAACTTAAAATATTTATAATAATATGATAAAACTATGGGGTTTTCATACCACAACCTATACTTTCCCTGAAATCAAGGTTATATACATAAATAATAAACAGTCACTCACCATTCTCATGATATGTCTTATACATACAGATAAGTGCAGCTTCTATATCTTTCTCACTTATTTTGAGATATCACCACATTTATCTGTCCTCCCTAACAACTTTTCAATCAGCTGATAAATTCTGTGAATCTGGTGTGCATATTAAGCCATTGAAGGATACCCAAACCTTTTATTTGTTTTCTCTTTATCATAAAGAACAGCATCATAACGTCCATGGGAACTTACGAGGTAGAAATAACACTAGTGCCATTCAACAGTGTCTTCTGAAATGTCTGGTAATAGGCCTCTTTTGATTATTCAACAGACTTTTGTATTATTCTAGTCTGTGCACATCCAGAGAGTCCTATCACTATTAATACACCTGAATAATAAAAGTTGTGTCAATAAGAAAAGGAAACCAGGTTATCTCTGGTGCTTTTAAACAAAAAGATTATCTATTGTAGATGCCAACTCATTGAAATGGAATTTAAGTTACAGTATTTGGAAACAAGGAAGTCATAGTGATAAACTAAACATGTTTTATGATACCAATTTGCATATTGAAAGTTTGTAACCAAAGAATTTTCATATCCACTGAAATTCAATAGAAATGTACCATTTTCTTAATAATTTACACTTATTTTTATTATTATCTGCTGATATTACACTGCATTCTCCACAACATTCCTCTCAGACATAAAATTAAAGGCATACAGTGGTAAATTATGTATTTGTAAGCTGTTCAAAATTATTTCCAGGCCATTAAAAGCAAGTCTTAAAAATAAACTGAGCAATCAGTGTTGTAGTGCATATCCTGTTCAACATATACCTGTAACATATTCTCTCCCTTAAAAGAAGAAATTTACAGAATATTCACCGGTATATTCCTAGAGAACAATTCAAAGGCATAGGCTTCAACATTAACACGCTTCGACATGATTAACAGAAATCTAACCAGAATGCAGTCACCATATCAGAGCTACAAATACGGTACAATAAAAATGGGTTACATATGTCCTACTTTACCATGTTGACTGCCATCATGATTTCTGACAATTTTTGTCTCAGACCTCCAAGATTCTGTACATTCCTTGTCTCAAGTCACTGCGCTGTTGCAATGTTGTGAGTTACAACAGCCGCTGACTAGTATCACGTATGTCAGACTTGTATATGTTGGTGAGTGCTGTAGTTGCCGCAAACCATTGTGGACACACTCCCTTAGAGCCTGCATTCAACCATTGGACACATGGCAATGGCACATCAAAGGACAAGAGGCTCGATACCGGTAACTGTTATATGGAGTACAGGGTCCGTAGAGGACGACCATGGCAGCTAGGTAAACCATGGGGCATATACATCAGTGTCCTCCAGGGCAGTCAACATGTTAATGATACATTTGCATTACAACAAGTATGTAAATTTAAATAATTAAGCCATACAGGTCCAGAAAACAAAAGGGAAGCACTTACAGGGCAACATAAGAGAGAAATAGTTTCAACACTTTAAAAACAATGTCCAGGAGGGAGGGAGTGAGTGAGAGAGAGAGAGAGCAAGTGTGTGTGTGTGTGTGTGTGTGTGTGTGTACACAGGTGCATGCGTGTGCATGAGCACATGCAGGGTTTTCAACTTATAATACTATGAACATGTCTGGAGAGAACTTACTTACTTACACACATATACACACATGTGCATGTGTGCATGCACCAGTCAAGCCAATGGTAAAAGTGGGTAGTGAGGCATGGATGTAGATCATAAAGCCAAAAGAAAAACAGAAGCAACAAAAATGAGAACTTTTAGACCATTAGCCACCATTACCCACAAAAGTGTGTACCCAAATGGTTATTCACAGCTTTAGTTACACAGTTACTGTGGTGTTAACAAAAAATTGGATGTTGTGATAATTCTTGGCTTTTATGGTGGGATAATATTAATTATACGAGACATTTAATGCCAGACCATTACATTCTACAACCTGAGTTCCCCATATTTCAATGAAAGGTGGTTAATTTTTTGACTCCATAGAAAACAGTATTCTTGTAGAATTTCAGCACCCTCTGACTTCCAGTTTTGGTTGAGAAGGGATGCAAAACTCATAAAATAAAATGCCATCTCCAATAAAAAATTATTGTGACATGATGCGCAACGGAGAACCCCTCCCTACCCAGCAGCAAAGTGACAACTCAGGCCACAGTGACGTGGCGGATGAGTCAGCGCTCCCCTCCCCCCCTCCGCATGGTAACGTAACGCACAACGCGCGGTGACGTAAGACGGCGCGAGGTAACAGCGTTGCTAGGCTATATGCAAACACGGTGACACGGCACTGCTTCCTACTGTGACGTGGCATGCAACAGGCACCACTGCGGCTATATAAGGGAACTGCACAGCAGCTATGAGTTAGTTGAAAGGTGGCCATCGCCGAGTTCAGTAGTAGTTGAGCCAGTGTGTGATCAACAGTTCTCAAGGCAGCTACCTACGAGTTAGTTCCGAGAGAGTTCCGAGTTAGCCAGCAACCAGTCAGTTGCATTCTGGCATTTGGAGTGTAGTATTTGTGATACTGCAGATAGCAGTAATTGTGAATCTGTAATTTGGGTGATTGTAAGTGCGAATGTGAAATAAAATTCGCTATATCAAATACGGCGTGAAGTTATTTGTCGTGTTATACGCCCAATACGTGACATTATCATTCCATTCTGTTTTTCATATGCTACAAAGCTCACACGTCACACATTTAAAAGCTCTTTTCACAAGACCTATAACTCACATTCAGATAGGGCAGTTTTAGTTCCATGTCATCTGATATAACCTCTTAACCTCTGACATTCTATTTCCCACAGAATATTACTTTTCCTGGGGGAAAAAAACGCACATGCGTTATAAATTAGTAGGAAACAAATTTCCATTATTACCGACACCTCCAGTTAACATACTGTGGGCCATGATATAGCTCAGATTCTGAGGTGCCGGCTTCCCACTGTGGCGGCCCAGGTTTGATCCCAGATCAGGTCATGTGCGATTTGTGGTGGAGAAAGTGGCATTGGGGCAGGTTACCTGCAAGTTCTTCAATTTCCCCTGACAATTCTCATTCCACCAACTGCTCCACATTAATTACCATCTATCATCTGACACTGGTACAACAAACAGTGGCTGACATACCAAGTGGACTCAGTCTCAAAACACCCAAAGAAATATATATATATATATATATATATAGTATTGCCTTTCCAGCCTCTACCCACCTATTAAGGTGACAGTACATATACAGTCAGACTTATTTATTCCTAAAGTAGGTTGACTGGCATTCTGGGCTGCAGAGGAGCCTAATTCTAATCAAAGAGACCAAGCCATAGTGGAAGGAGGTAAAACTGTCTCTCTGCTTAAGCATCATCATGAAGACACAGGAGTGTAAAGAAATGTCCATACATTCTTATCCTCAGGACTAGAAAAAGGTGAGTAGTCAGCTTCCTGTTCTGGCCACTGTATCCTGAGGCAAGAAGCCCCTAGTATCCATCAGACAGGTTTGTCTGCCTCTGGCACTGATCACACACCCAACAGCCAGTCACTTCACTGATCATCCTACCTTATTTAACAAACTCCGTGGCCTGTAGTCTGCAAGTGAACTATACTGACCGAGTGACCACTGCTTGTTGGCGAAGTTAGTGCCAACTTTTTGCAGATAGAGAGTGTCACGTGGTCAGCGCAATGGATCCCCACGGCCGTTAATCTCGGTTTTTGGGACTGGAGCCGCTATTTCCTTGAAATAGCTCCTCAATTATCCTCACGAGGCTGAGTGAACCCCGTTCCAGACCCACTACTTCTCAGAAAATCAGGTAGTGCCAGGAATCGAAACCGGGACCTCTGGATCTGTAGCCAGGAACTCTGACCACTAAACCACAGAGGCGGTCACCTCATCTAACAAGGTATGAAAAATATGCACAGGAGACTTGAGTCAAACAATAATTATAATAAAATGTGGTAAGGAAAGAAAGAGAACTCACCAAAGCAATAAAACAGAGATGCAAAGAAAATACATGAATACATAGGCTCTGATAGATACCAAGTGGTCTTATTTACTCACTGAATTTGCATAGGACATTTTACCTTTTGAGTGTCAAAATTATAAATAGTATGTATTCATACAAATATGTATGTGGCTGGAACTGTCTATAATCATGTTTATGAAACAGTCGTACACTTATCAGCATAATAAGGTGAAATCAAATGTGACCGTAACACCAAACTTTTACATACTCTAATAAATACTTCATTTACATCAACAAACTCTGAAGTTACTTCAGCATTTGTCAGTCCAGATTCTTGCAGTTAAAATGCTGTATTAATAACCATCTCTTCTTTCAGAACATCATTAGAACATAGGCATCACAATGCATAACACAATTAAAATTATGAGGAAAGAAGGAACATCCCTTGCACAACGTCTGAGGGACAAACAAATCACACATTCTCAATATATTTAATGTCATGTACTACCACAGTATAAACTAGTCATTATTACTGTTGTTTTTAAAAAATGAAAAAACTGACAACACCAATATACAGGCCAGCTATAAAACATGAGTGGCAGTATAACTGAGGCAGTAAGCTGGAAAAGGAAACATGTTCAATGGCTGTGATGCAGACATGTTCCCTTTCCACTGACTGATTCAAGTGTAACACATGCAGGAAGACAAAACTGTCTTAACCTGTAATTAAACTGCATTACAAAATACATTTTCTTGGCCATTTCATCAGTTATGATGAACACATATAGAATCTGACATTTAAAACTTCAATGAGGAAATCTAAAATGAACAGTCTTCTCAGGGAACAGCAATCATCAAGCACCAAAATTCCATCTTCTGCAGTTAACATGCAGTCTTTATTTTTAACATTTACTCTCTAACAAAGTATATTTTGCGGTCATTAAATATCATTTATTCATGCTTAGCAGTCTCACCATATGAATTGCATTTACTCTGTACTTTTCTGAACTTATCCATAAGGTTTTACTATTTTTGGGGAGTAATGTGATTTCAGATAGGCCTATTAATTCATAACTCAGTTACTGGAACTGAAGAAAGAAGCACTGATATTTATTATTTGTTTTCAACAACCTGTTGCATATGTCATGGTGTCCATACAACATATGCAGTTTCTTCAATATTTTAGAATGTCTACAGGAAACATATTTAGATGTCATTTTTAGGGCCACTAACAGTAAATGTAAATATGCGATTCCCTGGGCAGAAAATGTGAAACAATTTCTGAAAATAATTAAACAATGTGGGAAGCATGAGAGAACTAGCATAGCAGCAAAACGATTAATAACATACAAGAATATCAAAAGGACTCAAACTTTTCATCTGCACAACAGCCCTTTTCATTCAATGGGAAAGAATCTTATCTAAACAATAAAATATTGAGCTGTGCTGAAGGTCAGCTTGCTCTTGTGCGTGATGTCACGGCGTCTGCCATTCCCAGATTCCATCTTCACCCCTATATGTTGACGTATTACCCTCATCATGTCTGTGTATCACGTGACCTTCTATCCCTCTTCCGTCGTCTCGGAAGGAGATGAGACCTGAGTCACAGTCTGTCAGACGTCGTCCTGAGTGGGCGCTTACCAGCTAGCAGGGATTGCTACTGGAAATTCTGTTTTGGCCTGGTACCTCTAAATTGTGTTCGGTATGTCTGACTGGCTGGTAAGGTAAGGCTGCCCGCGATCGCAAGCCATTGGCCTAGAATGGTTGCGATGCACGTATTTATTTTCTTATTTATTTTTATTATTATTATTTGAGGGGTAACCTGTTTAACGCCCAAAGGAAGTTAGGAAACTGGGGTGAGTTAGTTTATTCTTGGTCACGACTGTTGGAGACAAGTGATTGCTCCGCAATCATGGGTTTGGGTTGTTGTACCCTGTTCTGCCATGATTATGTATTTTTCTATATTTTGTGTAATTCTGTTATTTTGTTATTAAACTCTGTTATTGTTATCTGAAAGGCCGACATATCACTGTAGCTTCTCCATACATCTTGGATACCCCATGAATATCTTGGGGAGCTTGCAAACACAGCAATAAAGCCAGTGACGATGGGCTGCTTCTCCCTACTTCACGGCTCTGGTAATAAGTATATTGAGAGAAGAAGGGGAAGGGGCAGTTCAATATCATCATGAAGAAAGAAAATTCTGAGACAGTACCACAATTTAGGCCACGACTGATTCGGTCCACATCCGCTCCATGTTACACGTATTATTCTCTAACCATTCAACACTATACAGTCTGAGTTATAGAACGTGCCGCTAACTAAACCACGAAAAGAAATAATTGTTATATAATTACATTACCCTATGATAGCAAAGCATAAAACCAATTTAATATTATTCTGGTTCAAAATTTGTTGGAAAAGACTTCATGGAAGCATATACATGATTATGTTTGTACTGTCTCAGCCAAGAATGGAGTACCTACAAAATGCACAGTCAGTATAGATATTATGTCTTTGTATTTACCATATGAAGGCAAACTTCTTACTCACGAGCTCCATGACAACATGAAAACATTTCCAGAAATGTATTTATGAATATAAACATATTTTTTATAAATAATAATTTTTATGATAATAAATATAACACAATTAAAAAAAACTCCACGATTTTAGTCCGCAAGCGAACTATACCAACTGAGTGACCGCCGCTTGTCAGTGAAGTTTAGTGCCAACTTTTGTGGACAGAGGGTGTCACGTGGTCGGCACAACAAATCCCCATGGCCGGTAATTTCGATTTTCTAGACCAGTGTTCTGCAACACACTGGTGTGCCGTCACAAGGTGAAAGGTGTGACGCGAACTTTTACCTATTGTAAGAAATTAACTGTCAAATTTTATTTGTTTTATTTTATCCCAGTTACCATGTTTCATATGCTTGTATTTTATTCTCAGCCACTGCACTGATTAAATAAGATGATGGTTGTTTATTCTTTATTACATGCTGTGATTTTTTATGTACAGTAATGTTGTATTCTAAGAAATTAAACATAAATTATTTACTCACAGTTGTTGTTATATCATAGTTTTCATTATTGATTTATTTTTATTTTTCTCGCATCTACGCAGCTTCTTTGATATGCTTGCCGCATGTTCTGTGTACGCGCTTTTCCCTAAAACTGCGGGGATTAGCCTGGGGTTTCCTGTCTTTTATAACGCTGTTTCGGTATTTGCCCCTGTTTGTTAGAAGTTAGAGCTTCTTCAACTTTATGACTTTCTTCCTGTAACGATGCACCCACCGATTGTTGGACTTCATTTAAAATTATAAATATTTCAAAAATAAGTCGGTATAGTGTCACTTCTTCCGTTTGAAGAGTAGAGATCCCGCGTTTTACAATTGTTTCAGTTCTATCACAGCTGTGCTCTGAAGTAGTTCGCAAATTTTGGTTGCTAGTTAGAGAATTACAGATGGGTCGTTTGAGATGTCCCCGACTGTATGGCCACTTGCTGACGGCAATAAAGTGGTGATGGACACAATTAAAGAACATTTAGAAATGCTGCAGCAGAAATTCAATAAGTATTTTGGAGAGAGTGTACAAAATTTCGACTGGGTTCGTGATCCATTTGTTGTGAATTCAGAACATCTTCCGATTAATATATACAAGAGGAGCTCGCAGATTTGAAAGCAGACAGAACATTGAAACTAAAACTTCTCGAAGTGCCTTTGGATACGTTTTGGTTGGCAATAAGGAGTGGATACCCGGCTATCTCCGAGATGGCAGTTAATGTGTTATTGCCATTTTCAACTACATATTTGTGTGAACTGGGCTTCTCGACGTTAACTGAAATTAAGACATCAAAGAGGGAGCGGCTCAAATCCACCGATGAAGAAATGAGACTTGTGGTGTCAACGATTCCACCACGGATCAGTCGCCTGTGTGCAGCTACGCAGGCGCAAGTATCACATTGAAGGTATGAGCAGATTTACTGTATTTACTTTAATAGTGATATAAGTGTATTGTCTACACTCTACAGTGAATTAAAGTTCATTAATTGCTAATAAATGCACGAGTCAATTTCTGTTTAATGATAACAAAATAACAATATAATAATATTATAGTAATAAGTTGATCATGTTACGTATTTATATTAATTGTCTGATATCATGCGTTTTTGAGGGGATCAACATTTTGGTGTGCCGTGCTGAGTCATGGATACTTCATGGTGTGCCACCAGTAGAAAAAGGTTGCAGAACACTGTTCTAGACCAGAGCCGCTATTTCCTTGAAATAGCTCCTCAATTATCATCACAAGGCTGAGTACACCCCATTCCAGACCCACCATTTCTCAGAAAAAATCTGGTAGCACCGGGGATCAAACCCAGACCTCTGGATCTGTAGCCAGGAACGCTGACTACGAGACCAGAGGCGGTCTAATAAATACAACACAACAAAATTTTCTTTCAACCATTTTCTACCAGAATATTTTTGTTCATATAATTCCAGAAATGTAAATTTTTTCAATATTAGTATCATTACCAGTTACAGCAAAACAATTCAGTTAAAATGGCCACCAGTGACATATTACAGGGGACCTGAAATCTCTTATTCCTGTACAATAAAGGTTATTACAGTTCCAATATTAGTCTGGCAATGTTGGGGAAAAATGAAAGTTCTACTTAACGTCCTTCCAGGACATCTATGGCAACAAACCATACATTTAAGAAAACTGTATTATAAGAGAAAATTGTTCCTTTTTCCCTCATAACCTTGAACTTAAATATCCAATCTTACAAACCCTGATTCTGTTCCACACCTGTGATTATGAGGCCCATAATCATAGAAGAAATATTCATGGGTAATATCAAATTATTGAAACATTCTGATACTTCAGAAAGGTTGGTTCAAGTATTTCTGATTTCAAGATCTTACCTTGCCTGATGAGGATAACAAAACTGATCATACCACAACAGCACCAGCCTCGCTACGGCTCTCTGGCAGAGGTGGGCAGTCATGCCACTTGTCTGCCAATGGGTCATAACATTCAACAGAGGAGATGGTGATTTGTGCTCTGTAGAAGTTCACTTCATGTGTCTGGTCACCACCGATAACATAAAGCAGTCCATCGGCGGATGCTACTGCAGGGCTCGCACGACCCACGTTCATGGACGGAACTTTACTCCATTTGTTCTGAACATATGGAAAATAATGAAATGTTAGTACGGCTTGACAAATATATACAAGAAGAAAGCAGTCTTCTGGTATGTGGCACTGTGTAGATGTGGTGTTAACCGACGTTTCGGAGGAACGTATTGCCTCCATCTTCAGGGTAGAAGGAAAAATAAGAAAAAAGCAAAGAGAAAGTGAGAACAGGTGCAAGCAGACCTTCTACCCTGAAGATGGAGGTGATACGTTCCTCCAAAACGTCGGTTAACACCACATCTACACGGTGCCACATCCCAGAAGACTGCTTTCTTCATAGTCACCGCCATGAAACCTCAAAAGTACATACGTGTTACCTTACATACAAAGGCTCTGAACTTTAAACGAGGAAATGTGAACTGTAAAACAATTCTGCAGTTAATTTTCAGAGAACAATCTTGCAATAAGTTTTAACCAGCATTTCTTTGCCCAAAAAATTTTCTTATGCCAGCTATGGAAGGTCTGTTGGACTTCTATGCAGCTCCATAATAATCAGTGTGTTGAGCTTCAAGGCAAGCCATCTGACAGGTTTATGGGTTTGGTCTTCCTCTTAGGGTGGACTGAAGATGAGGCCCTAGCACTTGCTTACAAGAGTTCTGAGCCACAGCCACATGAAGTTTTCAATAGCCCATTTTTCTACAACAGGAATCTATTCAATATAGTTAGATAACTTCTATCCTCCTGGAGAGACATCTCACTATAGCACACATAGCTGTCACCGTCTGTTTTGTCTTTTTGCCTCTTCTCTCGCAAGTATAGTGAGTGTAACCAGTCTTGTCAAAGTGTGTAAATCTTTATACCAAATTCCTTTGTCTTAGGAATGTAACGATTGAAATAATTCCCTTTGAAGAGTGCAATAACTTCATCCACAGCTAAATATTCAGACTGAATAAAATTTAGCATACATGTCATTCAACTAAGCAATCACAGGGAGATCTAATTTTCTAAAATCTGTCATAGTTCTTGTCAGTCTTATCTTGTTAAATCATACTGTCTCAGAAATTTAAAATCTCAATAAAAAAGTGGTCACATTTCACTATGTTACTGTAAAATGGGATAGAGAACTATTCAGGAATGAACAAGCGACCTTGCAGCATCACCAACATCATGTCCCACTTGCATTATTATAGCCAAAAATTGTGCACCTCCTGTACTGTCATGTCACAAAGTGAAGAGCAACCACCATCAATGAGACAAGTATGTCTGAATATCAGTTCCACCAATAAGGTAGCCCATTTCCAAGAAGAAGACTAGAAAGCTGCAACTGGTGCAGAATCATTGTTCACGTAGATGCTTTGTTTATCTTCAGTACCATGAGATCTACAATGAAATTATGAACACCACTAGAAGTTCAAAGGTATTGTGGTTTTTATGAAATGTTTTCTTGGCTTCTGCTCACATTACCATTATCACCCACTGCTACTGTGACCTTATTGAGCTTACTTTCAATCAGATGAGGTTGTTTCATCAGAGTCACTATCAAAAATCAGATTGTGTTCCAACATCTTTTTTTAGTCCTCAAAATCTGTGCTATTATGACAAACAGAAATTTTATTACGTTAACTTACTCTTCTTGCCTGCTAGTATAATATGTAGGTCGTACTAAAAGTCATGTGCAACTTTTTTTTGCATGCAACCTGGGAACAGCAGATGAAAGAGAGTAGGGTGGTAGGTGGAACCAGCTGTTGTGTTAACCTTGAGTGTCTTGTGACGTCAATAGCTTGCATCACGTGACCAGTATCACTCCTAACAAAATGGCCAACAATGATATGTCGTTTCGCCAGCGTGATGTCATCGAATTTCTTGTGAAAGAGGAAATCCCTGCTGCAGAAATTTACCAGAGACTTCAGCGTGCTTATGGAAGTGTGTGCATGGGTGCGAGCAGTGTTCGAAGATGGGTGAAACATTTTAAAGATGGGAACACCAGCATTGAAGATGAGCCTCAGAGTGGTCGTCCTCGAACAGCCTCAAATGAATGCAACAAGGAAAGAGTGGATGAGATCATTCAAGAGGACAGGTGTGTGACTGTGGACACAATGGCCCGAAATCTTGGAATAGGGCACAGTGCAGTACAGGAGATGATTGAAAGCTTGGGCTATAGGAAAGTTTGTGCTCGTTGGGTCCCGCGGTTATTGACCGAAGACCACAAAGGTCAGTGAGAAGCCATCACCTCAGAACTGCTGCAGAGATATTGACACGAAGGTGATGATTTTCTGCTCTGTATTGTGCTATGTGACGAAAGCTGGTTTCACCATTTTGAGCCTGAAACGAAACGACAGAGTATGGAATGGCACCATTTGCATTCGCCATCAAAAAAGAAGGCAAAGACAGTGCCATCAGCTGCAAAGGTGATGGGCACAGTCTTCTGGGATGCAGAGGGGTTTAATCTGGCCAAATTGCTGGAACCTAGGCAAACCATCAATGCTGCTCGTTATGTCCAGACGCCACACAAGCTCCGTCGTGCATTGTGCGATAAACATCCGGGACGAAATATCATCATTCTGCATGACAACGCTCGCCCCCACACCGCTGGCCTCACACTGGAAGCAACTGCAAAGATGGGGTGGGAAGTTCTTCCACGCCCTTCCTATAGCCCTGATCTGGCACCCTCCGAGTACCATCTTTTTGAATTTGTGAAGGATCAGCTGCGTGGACGTTTTGAGACAAGGGAGGCAATTCAGAAAGCAGTGCGTCAGTGTCTTCGGATGGTTGGAATGGAATTTTACAGAAGGGGAATTTTCGAACTCCCATATCGCTGGGAGAAATGTGTACAAAGAAGTGGCAATTATGTGGAAAAATAAAGAATGGTCTGTAGATTGAGGTGGTGTATTTGGTTTGTCAATGATAAAGCATGTTACTTTACAAAAAACTGTTGCTCATGACTTTCAGTACGACCCTCCTAATATTAGGCAATTCAACATGTCTGATGATATCTTACACCTCCTCACTCCCCCAAACCCTCAACAAGAAACTTTTATTTCTTTCTCTCAGTTTCTAACTAACCTAATTATTCCAGGTCTGTATATGTGTTCTATGTTACTGATAGTGGTCTATAACCCTTCATTCCCTAGCCAACAATAAACATAAGAAATTTTCATTTCTTTCAGTCACTTTTCCACCAGCTTAATAATACCAGCAAGTCAGCACCTGTGTTGAAAACATTGGGGTAGTCTCACCCTCCAAACCACAAACACTGGAGAAAACCTGTATTTATTTCTTCCTTCTAGCTCAGTCATATGCCACTATCTCAAAGCTGATATAACCATGACTGTGTGAGAATGGCATATTGACAGATCACATGGACATGACATGATTGGAGCCTGATCCTTTCAGGCTGAGAACTACCCTACTAGACTCAGTGTATAACTCACATCGAAGAAACATAGCAGAGGTCTGCAGAGAATGGTGGAAAATATTAACAGTATCATAGCTGCTTGAAATAAAGGGGAATTCAAGTGACAATGTCACACTGCATATGCAATACTGCCCTACACAGCCACCTGGACTGTGGGTATGCCAATACAATAATGTGATATTTGACAACTGATGATAAGGGGATGAAAGTCCTTACATTTTGGTTCAAGGTCACAACCCAGAACATATTGTCACTTTAAGAATTCCATTTACTTGTCAAATAAAAGCTTAAGACTTTCATGATTTAAGAAATGTACTACAACTGGCACCTTCAAATCAGAGACAACTGCAATGTACAATCTTTCTATTTTGTAACGCAATTTCTGATTGTCAGATAACATCAATCTGAAAATCTAAATTTGACAACAAGTGTTTTCATTCTAAGCCATATTCTATAACTTCTGGGATCTCAAGAAATACCATTCATTTTATGCTATCATGTAAGAACTTTTTTACAAATGTTGAAAAATAAGTGTCAAGTTCACAGGCAGGGGTCACCTTTCTTTAAAATGAGAACCAACAGAATATCATTCACTGTATGAAGAGTCTATTTCACTCATTTCATTTCAACTGACTGAAAGGGTAAGATACTTTCATACTGAAGACTAATACCTCTTCAAAAGAGTATCTCTCAACTGACTGCAGCACTTCATGATGACGATTGGTGCCACCCACAACATATAGGTACCCATCCAGCACAGCCACACCCATCTGACTGCGAGGCACCAACATGGAAGGCAGTGTTGACCACTCACCAGTTATTGGGTTGAAGCTCAGAAGATCCTGCAAGTGGCGCTGACTGTGTGTGCAGCCACCCACAATAAAGATCAACCCTTCAAAGTCACAAGATACTATAATTAGCAGCAGGAAAATCTTCAGTTGCAGGAATAAACTGACAAAGAGCAGAAAATTGTAATAAAAAGATATGTGGTGTCATTACAGCAGTCAGCTCTTAATCAATATTAATTTTTAAGCAAACATATTTATGAAAAGAAGCAATTTCAAGCCAGTTTTTCAAGTCACTTCTTCAGACACAGAAAGTTTAACTATCAAACTGAATCAGATATAATAACAAAGCCTGATTTCTGTATATTTTATCAAGAAAGGATAGCACATGGTATCAATATGTATCACGTAGTTACTATAGGATTCTGACGATGGTGTATAACACACTGATATATTGGGTTTTTGGACTTTATCCATCGTCCTGGTTTTTAAGATAATTAATAAAAACATGACATTTAGGAAACTGGATCTGTTTCCATCCTCAGGTGAAGGAAAACACCTATTCTGTTGGGTCCGTTAGAAAGAGCTAGGTCCAGTGATTGAGGCTAGCTCTTTCTAACGGACCCAACAGAATAGGTGTTTTACTTCACCTGAGGATGGAAACAGATCCAGTTTCCTAAACGTCATTTTTTATTAATTATCTTAAAAACCAGGACGATGGATAAAGTCCAAAAACCCAATATATCAGTGAATATGTATCACCCTTTGCACACCATGTATTGACTTGACTGGCTTGGGGTACCTGTGTTAAAACTGCCATACACAGAGATGAGTTCGCTGTTAATCAATTAGTATAGCACTTCTCTCAACAGACTGGAATCAAGTGTGTCATACCAATGTTTAGAGAATGGAATCAGCTTTCACATGAAATACAGCTGATGTTGTTTGAAAGTCATTTGAAGAATACACTGTGGGTTTTTCTGTACAACTGCATTTACCACCAAACAACCTCAGCATTTAAAGCAGACGGTTCTGTGATGGGGCCTTGCAGTCAAAGGTTTCATAACCTGAACCGATGTATTTTCATTGAAACTTTGAACAAAAACCATAGCACTGTAAGCCAACCTATATTTATTCTTCTTCATTTACATCAATAATCCCAGTATAACCATGTTAACTTGGAAGCTAGGAGTGACAACAGACTATACTCCTGAAAATGTCTGCATGTAAATCTTCAGAAAATATACAAGCAAGCAAACAAAAAAAAACTGTGGCCTGCAGTCCACAAGTGAACTATACTGACTTAGCGACCGCCGCTTGTCAGCGAAGTTAGTGCCAATTTTTGCGGACAGAGGGTGTCATCTGGTCAGTGACAGAGATCCTCATGGCCGTTAATCTCGGTTTTCTAGACAGGAGCCGCTAATTCCTTGAAATAGCTCCCAAATTATCTGGAAGTCAAGGGCCGCGCCATAGCTCAAGCAGTTAGTCGCTGGCTTCCCACAGTGGCAGCCCGGGTTCGGTCAAGTGGGATTTGTGGTGGAAAAAGTGGCGCTGGGGCGAGTTTTCTCTGAGTACTTCAGTTTCCCCTGCCATCTTCATTCCACCAAATTGTCCATCATCATATTCAGCTGGGGCAGGTACAATAGGAAAATCAGTGGCCACTGTGCTGAGTGGACCCAGTTGGAGTCCACCCCCCACTAAGCAAATTAAAAAAAAATTAATCTGGAAGTCAATATAATTTAATCAGTTCAGATATCTGATCTCCAAACTGATATTTTAACTACATGAATATTAGGAAAGAGTTGTAACCACTTAACTGTGATTTCAGTAGTTATTTCTATAAAGCAAGGGTCTCCAAACTGCGGGCCACATCCGGCCCGTGATCTGATTTTATCCAGCCCGTGAAAGAATTGTGCAGAAATGCGCCAATTGAACTATCATGCTCTTAACCATCGCCAGTTTCGGTCTCTTCTGCAGGAGTGTGATTCCGAGCTTATTGACCTGACATATTATACTGCAGTTTGATGGCTTAGCTGTGAAAAGGTTCTTTCCCACTTCTTTCAGCTCAGGAATGAAATTGATATATTCTTACCGAGAAAATCCATCATGAACCACTTTTATCAGATACCGAGTGGCTTTGGAAATTAGCATTTTTTGCTGATCTGGTGAACAATATGAACAATTTGAATTTAAAGTTGCAGGGTGAAAACAACTTAGTCTGTGATTTATTTGCACTTATCAAGGCATTCAGAGCAATGTTGATACTTCTGGAAAGCGAAGTGAAAAATTGTAACTTTGTTCATATGCTATACTGTGCAGAGTTGCATAAAAAGGGTGAAGCTGAATTTCCTTCCTTGTTTGCAAATTTAGTCATTGCAGATTTTAAAGAAAAATTTCGGAAGCGATTTGCTGATTTGGATGCCCGTGCTCTGGAAACTAGATTCTTTCAAAATCCGTTTGACTGTGACACTGCAGATGTCCCAAGTCAAATTAAAATGGAAATTATTTAACTTCAGGAACGTATCATATTAAAGACAAATACAAGGAAGGAAATTTAATCAAATTTTATAAATTTCTGAATTCTGAGCAATTTCTAATTTAAAGAAATTTGCTTGTAAATTTATCTCCATTTTTGGGACGACATATCTGTGTGAACAAGCTTTTCCCCAGATGAAGTACATCAAGTCGAAATACAGCGCAAATTTATCCGATGAACATTTAAAGTCGCTACTTGTGATTAGCGTTTCAAAATTTGAACCTCAATTTAATCAGATTTTAAGAATGCAAAAAGAGTTCCATCATTCACATTAATTGTTTTATTATAATTTGTGATGAAAATATGAGCATTTGCTGCTACTGTCTGTTGTCATTAATATACGATAATTTATTCTCACATACTTTGTATTTAGTTTCTGAAATTCTGTGCTTTCAATAAAACTCATATACTTAGAGTTATTAATTTCTCATTTTATCCACCCCATTGAAAGTGCTGAATTACCTAATGTGGCTCGCATTTCGAAAAGTTTGGAGACCCCTGCTATAAAGGACTGCAGAACGAAATAAAAATTTAGTCCTTTTGCACAATACACCTAGTGTTCTTCAGTCTTCCTCAACACACTCACTCACCATCATATGAGACGACACCCATGCTAAACCTGGGTTCTGGCAGGTCTCCTTCGAGTCTCCATTCATTGTGTTTTGGATCATACTTCTCAATGGATCCTCCAATATCCTCACCCACCCACCCACCAATAGCATACAAGTTCCCATACAGTGCACACAGTCCAAATTCACAACGAGGCACCACCATACTTGCTACTTTACTCCAAGAATCCTCACGAGGGTCATAACATTCACCATTGGCTAAGATCTGTGACTCCTGTTCTCCACCAACCACAAAGATTCTTCCATTAAGAGATGCCACACCTGGAAGGATTCGCCCAATGCCCATTGGTGAGGCACGGCACCACTCTCTACGAAACGTGTCAAATCTTTCCACTGACTCGTATGTGCACTCTGAAGATCTTGTCCATGCACTCACTAGTTCCCGTTTTGAACCACCGATCACAAAGATGTCTTTCTTAGCACAAAGTCGTGGATGAACATAAAGAGGTACCAAATTTCCTTTCTTGGTAACAAGATCCTTACACACTGAACGAAGAGCAACTTTTAGACTTCCATCTCCACAGTCATTGATTGCTCGCTCCAAAAGACATACAGACAACAATGGCAGACGCACATGAGACAATATTTCAAACACATAACGACGACGTTGTTTCACATCATGCATAATCCACCTCATTGCAGCCTGAAATACCTGGAAAAGAAGAATTCTCTGTCAACACATGACTGAACACCAATACCACACCACATTATCAAAACTTACTAGTTATAACAACACACAATGGTTGGTCACAGTTGCTTCTTAAGATATTACAGTAGATTATACATATGTGCTTTCAATTAATTTCAAGTATATTCAGCAATAAGATACACTAAATATACCCTCCCATTGATCTCACCTTGTTGCGGTGGGAGGCCCTAGTGGCCAACGAACCATACCACTGTATCAGGGAAATCTAGCATATCTAACTTGCTGATAACATGGTGATTACGAGTATATATCTATGTAGTCAGTCAATCAGTCACCTATATATTTCTGTGGTAGTGAATAATAAGTCATATTGCTGAAATGTAGACAGCACGTAGACATGAGTCAATGACCACAGTGAAAGCAACAAGTCTAGGGATGGTAGCACAATGACCAAATAAGTTCTCCCCTCTTCAAACTACATCTGTGCAGAACCCATAAAGCAGCCAGGGTGAAAGAACTTATTACTCAGAAGCCTCAAGGAAGACTAATAGGAATAATTATTTAATAACAACTGGTGATTTAGATGCAAGGGCTGGAAATCTGTCTAAACAAAAAATAATGGGAACTTTTGAAGAAATAAATAGTAACAAGAACAGATTATCTTCAGCAGTTTTCAATATTTAGTGATGTCAAATTGGCTTTAGACTTGAAACTTTGGCAGTCTGCAGAGTGAAGACTTATTTGAGTTGAACCTTGCCACCAGAACTGTTGAACTTCACTGATACAGCCAGTTTTGCTTTACTAATGCAATCTGCAATTATACAGTCCCTCCCATCACTTCATTAATGAGGCAGCAGTTGTAAAGTATTCGAGCAAATTGAAATAAATCTGGGTGAATACTTTCATTTCCCATTTCTTTCAATGCGCTGTTCCCTAGTACAGACATAGGCAATTACGATCTGACTTGGTTGGTTTTGTAGTATGAGAACACCACAGCAAATAACAGGATCCAGGGCTCCAGAAATTCAATTCAAATGTACTACTATGTTTGCTGCACTGGATAAGCTGATGTCTGTCTCCACTCTTACACTCTGCAGCAAGTGGCAGTGACATAATTTCAAGGGAACCAATCAGCTTCAGTCAAGCTTATGCTTTGTTGCTGGAAAGATCCATCCTGTGTGGTTGTACTTTGTTAATTACATTTATATTTTGTGTATGTTAATTATTTTTTAGTAACACTGTGTTTCAATGATTTAAAAATGGTTGCAGAAAAACCAAGTGAGAAGCAATGCATAAGCTAAACTGAGAGTTAGTTTCACTAACCTGCAATTACTTCAAGAAGGAAGCAGAAACCGGTGACTCTACCAATAACATTAACAAATGTAAGATTTTAGAGTTTCACGGTGGTGACTATGAAGAATGTTGTCTTCTGGGATGTGGCGCCATGTAGATCCTGCATGAACTGATGTTTCAGAGGAACGTATCGCTTCCATCTTCAGGGTAGAGAAATTCGGGATCGAGGAACCAGTTTGAGCAGGTGACTGCAGAAGAATTTTCTATGCTGAAGATGGAGGCGATACATTCCTCTGAAACGTCAGTTCACACAGGATCTACATGGTGCCAGATCCCAGAAGACGGCACTCTTCAACATTAACCTCAGAAATGAAGACATAATGCACTGTCAGGTGTGGATAAGTGCTGAGTGGTCTGGTAATGCCTCAAGTGTATCTGTCTTTGCTGGTGCAGCAACTCAATCTCTCACAGAATCCACGGAGACAAAATATTTCCAGAAATACAAAACAAATAAGAAGTTAAACATGAACTGAAATTCTCCATATAAATGAGGCTCCATATTGATAATTTGTATTTGCTCATGCTGTCATTAATTTCTGACAAAATAACATTATTCCCACCTGAAATTCAGTATCAACTCTTAAGTGTTCACTTGAAAGAAATTTGGTTAGCAGCTCTTTGGGAAGCTCAAAGAATTCCTCTTCACCACAGATTTGTGGAAAATGCAACTGAATGAAATCAACAGCCATATTTGCAAGTTCCTCGCAGTTGTGACCTTCAGCAAATCTGAAGCAGAAAAATGAAAACCCTTATTATCACAAATAGTTCCTCTTTTCAGTTTACTTACTTACTCCTTACACTCAGTACTTAATGCTGTGAAATCCTCTCAGGCAATCAGCATGTCCCTGCTGAGTAAAGCTCAAGTGTTTACCCCATAAGTACACCATTTCAATCCCAATGACAATGCAGAGACAATTTCCATGGAGTTCTATTCCACAATGATGCAGCTGATCTCCCTAGAGAGTTTCACTGCATTCCATCATAGCAAGAACTTCAAATGTAACATACCACACAGGCTGAGAAATTTGATGAAAAGGAGATATCATAAGTATAAAAGATTATGAACATCATTTAGTGTGATTGATAAATGATTTTTCCTTTTTAATCTTTCATCCTTTACATGTTCGGTCAGAGCGACCATCTTGAGAAGTACATATCAATACATGTGGAAACTACTATTACAATGTGATCGGTCATTATCAATGCATACAGTCATTACTATTACAATGTCATGAATATAAAATATAAGCCTTTAAAAAAACAGTGATGTGCCTGAATTTATCAATCACACTGGACAGCTTTGATAATCTTTTATACTATTACTAGTGTGACAGACCAGGATGAACCAAGTCAAAGGTGTCATAAGCTTTTCTGGGAACTTTTACAGGGTGGGGCGCAGAAACTTCCTTTTTGTGAAGACGCATTGTGAAGAGAGGGGAGGTCGCACAAAAGTGGGGATAGGCTCGGCGAATGCAACAGTCGCGGAAGTTTCTGCCTAATACCCCTCAGTAGGAAACATGAGGTGGATGAGTGAGCCGCGTGNTTTAAAACTACATGATTTAAAATTTTAAAGTATGTTCTTTCATTAGCTAACCATAAATTTTGTCTATCAGCAATAATTTTTCTTTTATTTGCCTTCAAAAAAAGGAAGTTTCTGTGCCCCACCCTGTACTTAAAGACACAGACAAAGGAAGCCCATATAACCCATGCCCAGTTTAGCTACTTAAAAGAGAATTCTATCTTGTCTAATATGCAATCATAACACAACACAATGGTAAGCAACAGTGAACTTATGAATACATGTGGCATATTGTACTTGGAGCATGTATGAAGTCTGTGCAAAGGGGAATGATAGGGAAAATTCAGACTGAAATGTCTACAACAGTTGACCTGAAAAAAAATATATATATTTTCAGTCACTGAATTAGTATCATACCTAAATTTGGGTAACTTACACCACGGAGGTGGCTGGAAGGAAGGAAGATCTTTACTGTTAGTCCATTTCCCATCAAATGATTTGAACGTTGTTGTTGAATAAGAAATTCAGTATTTTGTTTACAACAATCTAATGCTCATGCTAACTTTCATGAGTATCCCTTAGCTGGTTCAGACATTACTGGAGACAGAGGCACTTGACCAGACGGATACATGGACGGGCACAACTAATTCTGACACCCGTCTTTCCTTATAAAATTAAGACGACAAATAGTTTTAGAGTAGCAGAGATATACAAGCTAGAAAAGCAATATTTAGTGCAAAAATTGAAGTTGTCAAATATTTCTCATGACAGCTATCCAGTAAGGTAAGGTAAAGTTGTCCCTGTGGTTAACTAATTAAGCACTACGCCATGAAGACATATGGGGGAGTGGATGTAGAGATCCACATTTTCTTGACCTCGGCACTAGTTGGAGGTCAGTGGTCAGCTTCACGCACTAACCACTTTAACCCCAGGGAAAGAGTCCCCAGTACCCATTGTATTGGAGGTTGGGTGGACCCCAGAGCCGGTTTGCACGATGTGGAAAAGAGAAAATTCTTGACTCTACCAGGACTCAAACTCCAACCTCTTGGTTGTCCAGCCTGTAACCAGTTACTATATTGACTATGCTACATCAGCTCCAACAGCTGTCCAGTATCTCTTTTTACCTGTAGATTCCAATAGCGTTGGTAGCATGAAGCTCATGTTTCAGGAACTCTGTACATCCTACCACAACTTCCTTCAACTCCAACATGTCCGCTGCCACCATCATCTCTTGCACATTGTCTTGGTTAATGCTGATCTCACCTACGAGAATCACAAACCCAACCATGATACTATGGACGTTAATCTGACCGGAGAAATGGGGTATTAACACAATCATATCACTTGAATTCATCTGTTTATGTAGAACCAAGTCATTGTCAAACAAGACAACATGTCACTGGTTCAAAGTCTTACGTGCAACGAATCTTTCTAAAACTTATTTAAAAGTCTCTTACATATATGCATTGCATCTTTTAACCTAATTTAAAAGCTCTTGTATATTGGGACTTTTTTTACATGTTTCGACTGACATTGATCACAATCAGGTGTTCCAATATAAACTGCTGTCCTTCCATTTTGTGATGCCAATATTCGATGTGCAGTCCCATCTAAGCACTTGTGTATGTTATGGTGCTGGGTGTCCCTTCCTGTTGTGCTGTGCATCTAGATTACAAGTATTTCAGAAGGACATGATGCACATAAGACAATGAACCACTGACATTTGTTGAATAATAACTGATGTGCTACAATATAATATTATGTAGATAACTGTTTGATACTGTATGTTAAGAATAATCTGTAACTTCTTATATTATTACCAACAGACATGTTTATTATTCTTATAATATTTATTTTTGTACATTTACTCCATTACATGTTCAAACTAACAATTCATTCCATGACTGGAAGGTTGCAGATTTGATTCCTGACGAGGTCAATGGCTTTTCCAATCCAACTGACCTAACCCTTCCAGCTGCACTATACCCACAGGGCTGACTCAGCCTCTTAACAGAAATGGGTCCCAGGAATCTTCCTGCAGGTAAAGGGCAGCCAGCATGTAAGGCTGACAACCTCAAGGATGACTGTCCATGAAGGTCTACATGAACATTTCTCAAGATGAAAATACTGGAAAAATGAGGTCCAATATCTGGGCCTTACTCTGCCAAACTTACAGCAGTAGACTTACATAAAACGAAGTGGTATCAAGCGTGAAAATCAATGACATGGACCACGTAAAACACAGAATTAGAGACAATGTTTAGTCCATGACTTCAGCTGTTCTCATGTGGATTCAGTAAGCATACCGCAGAGTGATGAATGTCCATCACAATGCACTTCACTAATAGCACATGTAAATATTTAAAAATTTCTTTTTCTATTCTGTGTGTCATTCATGTTTGTAGCATTAACTGTTACAAAACAGCTAAGCTTGAAAATGGAATCTTAACTTCAAGGACACCATTACAAACCTGTATATATGAAATCAATCAGACTGTTAAGGATGTGTGGGGGTATATCGTGCAGCTCTATTGTGTCCATCTGTTCCTCTAGAAGTCCCGTTGTGAACATTGCTTGGAAGTACAGGCTACTAGCAGACAGGACAGCTCGATGAGCCTGAAATTAATATTTAAAATAGTAAGTAATATTTTATATTTCCATGCCTATACATAATAAAAAATCCTAAACAAAGGAAGAGGTACAACTCTGACAAAGTCTCTATAAGACTGACCACTGAAACTGGAAATTTATTTGAATGGAGAGCATGTGAGAGGAAATTTGCTGTTTTAACAGGCAGTGGAGCTGCTTTAATACAATGTGCGACTTGGCTAAGCAGTCTTGTAAGGAATTTCTGCTATACAATTCTTTATATGGTAACATGTCCACTTGTTGCGGGTAATATGAGCCAGCATTCTACCCAGGTACAACTAACAAGTGCAGCTGAAGAAAATATATTACCAGGTTCACTGGTACATGAGGAGCTGCTAAGTCTTCCTGTGACTTATGATTAATAATATTTGAGGTTTACAGGGCAGTGACCGTGAGGATTACTGTATTCTGAAATGTAATGCTGCATAGTTTGGTAGACTGTTACCAACATTTCAGAGGGACCAGCTACCTCCATCTTCAGGATAAAACAGTAACTGAGCATGAATAAAACTATATAGACATAGGGAAAGTGATGACCAGAGCCCTGAGTGAACCAATAGGATTTACAAGAACAGAGCAAAGAACATCAGCCCTTTAAAGGAATGTTTTGAAAGGCCAAAGTAAATATGAGAAATAATAGCTCTTAGTGAACCAATACTAAATACAGGGAAGTCAGGGGTGAGAAAGAAAACAGTGACCCTTTTAAAAATTTCTTTTTCAAAGACAGAGCATTAATAGTGACTGATTCACAGCGTACAGTACGGAAAAAATAACGCATGATATGGTGAAGATAAAAATAGGTAAAGCTATCCCTGTAATAGGCCATGCAGGCCCATTGGGTTGTCAGAAATCGAGGTTCCTACATTTCCTAGACAATCGGCTCACAGATGGCAGTGAGGCTGCCAGCCTTATGCACCAGCCAATCTCTGATACTCCTGTTAGGGGCTGACTTAACCCCAGAGCCACAGTGCAGCTGGATGGATTAGGTAAACTGAAAAATCCAATGACCCCATCAGTAATCAAATCCGTAACCTTCCAGCTTGCAGCATAGTGCCTCAACCAACTATGCTACTGCATGCCACCACAAAGGATCGTATGAGAGAAGGAAAATAAAATAAACAGAAATAGCGATCTGAGTGACCCAACACACAGACATCTCTGATGTAGGATTCCCGTGATTTGGTTCTCAAGCTAGGTCAATAGGTCTGGTGAACAGTGACCTTGTTAGGGCCTGAAAGAAACCTTTTCTTTCCTCCCATATCATATTTTTATTTCCTTTAGCCTTTCTCTCTTCCACTTCTTTCTCCCTGACATCCTCCTACCTACTATTTGTTCACTCAGAGTCATTAGTTATCTGATTTATTCTGCACTTGGAAAAAATGGCCCTTTAAAGTCCATTTCCTCCGTTCTCCTTACTCCAAGTGGCTCACTCAGGCGCCTAGTTTCAATCCTCAACTTTCCTTACATTGGTACATTCTTTTCATGCTTGGCTTATTCATCTAATCTGAAGATGGAGGCAACAGGTTCTCCTGGAAGGCTGGTAATGGTCTACAGACTACATGATGGTGACAAATCTCAGATGACAGAAATCTTCAAACTTATGACAACCTGCAACTTTCACATACCCTACATAACATAACCACCAAGCTCAGACTAGAACAGTACTGCACTTTATCAATCTGACTTGCAGACAAGTTTCAGCACAGTTTCAACTAAAGAAGTTACCCTGCTTAAATGTGTTGCAGACTGAGTTGACATGATGGCTGCGTCATAGCTCAAGCGGTTAGTCGCTGGCTTCCCACCGCAGCGGCCCAGGTTCGATCCCAGGTCTGGTCAAGTGGGATTTGTGGTGGACAAAGTGGCACTGGGGCAGGTTTTCTCCAAGTACTTCAGTTTCCCCTGCCAATCTTCATTCCACCAATTGCTCCACAATCACCCTCACCTATCATCTGGGGCTGGTACAATAGGCCAGAAGTGGCCCAACTAGCAATAAAAAAAAAGTTGACATAACACTGTACTATATCACACAGCCTGTTTTATTAATTAGTTACTTAACAACCAAAGCTGTCTCAGCTGCAGAGTTTATATAATGCTGATTGAGATGGGAAGATAATGAAGATTTGGAACAGGTAATCATGGCCTAATTCAAAGTACTTTCCTGACATTCACCAGGAGAAACTGAAAGAAAAACCATGAAAATTTCAGTCAGGAAAGCTGATAACTAGGCCAGGACTTGAGCAGGGTACCTCCTGGATACAAGCTGCAATCATCTGAGCACAGGGTTCAGATAGTACTGTTCTTTATTAGCAGGCCTGTTTAATTCTTAATTTACTTAACAACGTTGTTTGAATTTCAAAGGCTATATAGTTTCAAAACAATTTTAAGTTGGTCATGTGTAGTGTGTAGATGATTAACTGCTTGGATGGAGGTAGTCATGACCTATTTCATAGTAGTACCCTGGCATTCGCCTGGAAAGTAGCAGTAAAATCACGAAAAAAAGAAACTCTTATCAGGATAGCCGATAACACAGGCAAGATATGAGCAAGGTATCTGCCACATACTAGTTCAGGGTGATACCACTATGTTCAACATGTTCATGTTTATTTTTAGTATATTTAACACTGCTTTGTCAGCTGCGGAGGATATCTTAATAAACCATCCACTTCCTCATTAATTAATTGTAGTTATACGTGGAGTCCCCTCTTCATATTGCTGGAGTACTCTTAATAAAGGAATAGGGAGTGCTAAGTTTCTGAGCTGTCCATGATTTCAAAACCATAACAGTACTAACAGGAGAGACATGTTTCTAAATAGAAGGAAAATGCTGTGGGCCTTCCCTTATCAAGGGCACTCTGGTGGAAGCAACAACCTAAAGCAGGTCTGAGGTTTCTATCTGTTGTGTATGGTTCCTTAAGTACAGTGAACAACTGAATTTCTATGCATGCATATTCAGTATTCAATATTCAACGTTTCGGCCATTTATGGCTGAAACGTGTAGTGTAGAAGAAAGGAAGACGAAAGAACTACAATAAATTGTTTCTCTTAGGATGGAGTTTGTGTCATATATTACAGGTGTGGTTTAAAAAACTTTGTAAAACTCTAGAATCAATTTGATTTGTGTCCTTTATACTGCCTCTCTTTAAAGGAAGATGAGTGTCTACCATGTCATGGTTCTGTTGTCTGACGAATAGGACTCTTCAGTGCCGTCCAGTTGTTTGGGTCGTGCTGTGTTGTTATAGTATAACTGGATGGAGTTGACAGTCTTTTATACTATTGCTAATGTGACATACCATGATGAACCAAATCAAATTAATTGGATTCCTCATGAACAGTTAGTAAAATCTGTTAAACTCAATAAGACAGAAGCATATAATTTATTCAGAAGGAAGTGGTGGGTCTTCCACTCAACATGGCCCCCAAATGGATAATTTAGGTTTATAAAACCATCTTAAAACCTGACCTTTCTGATTCTGTAGAGGTGCTGAGATATCATCAGCTCTACTCTGACCGCGTTTTGAAACCAAACACCCAATTTCATCTCCCACAAACTTTGAATCTGAAGGAACATCATTCCTCTCCCAGTGCTTCTTAATCAGACACAGCTGCCAAAGCCAGATAATGATAATCAATGGAAGAACACAAATAAGTTTGTTCAGGCAAAGCAGGGAGCAGGACAAAAGTATGGAAGTTGGTGTAAGGGATAACTCATAGTGCACCCCCTTCTGTCAAAAGGCAAGCAATTTTATTACAATATATAGCACTAAATGAGAAAATGAGTGTTGATTTTAAATTGGGAAGGAAGTCATCATATTTTATTTTAAGGTTATTGTCTAGCATTTAGCTGCTGGGACTGAGGAAACAGCTAGATATCTGAGTAGGGAAGGCAGTCTCAGAATCAAAAATCAAACTCAAGACCTCATACATAGTGTGACGTGGATGGCGCAACGGGAAGTAGGGGTCACGTAAACTCTGCGGTCTGCGAGTGACATCACATACCCCCACTCCTTCCATTACCACGCAACTCTCGGTAAACACCCCTTCCCTGGCAGTGACCTGGCAGAAGAGCGACTGTGTTGTTACCAAGGGATACCGCAGTTGCTACACCGCAGTAAACAACTCTCGACAGTGTTGCTAGGCAACCTGTAAACACGGCGTCAGGCAACAGCGGTATCTATTACGTAACTGTTTTCTGTGTTGTCCATGCCGAGGCTAAAGAAGGAGCAGTGAACACTATTCAGGAAAATGAATGCCTGAGGCAACTTCCAAGGCGACCACTGGTTCACCTAACTCATTTATTTAATCATTGTCTTCGGCTCTCTCATTTTCCAAATACTTGGAAGGAAGCAAAAATAAAAACTTTACCTAAACCGGGTAAAGACCCAAAATTCCAGCAAAATCTATGTCCGATCAGCCTCCTGTCCACGACAGGAAAACTATTCGAAAAAGTAATTTTGAAATTACTACAAAAACATATTGAAGAAAGAAGCTTGCTCAACGCAAGCCAGTTTGGTTTTTGTGCACATCACAGCATGACATTGCAATGTATGAGGCTGGCGGACCATGTGACCTTTAATTTCAACAACAAAATGTCTACGGCTGCGGTGTTCTTGGACATCGAAAAAGCCTTTGATACCACGTGGCATTCAGGCTTGCTGTATAAGTTATCAAAATTGGAATTCTCGAACAGTTTGACCAAACTTATTGGGTCCTTTCTTTCTCAGCATAAATTCAGGGTTTCGGTTGAAGGCCAAATGTCAACCCCAAGGGATATGTAAGCAGGGATGCCACAAGGCTCAGTCCTCTCCCCTACCCTTTTCAATTTGTACATAAATGATGCCCCCCAAACACATGGTGTTCACAAGGCACTCTTTGCGGACGACACCTGTCTGTATGCGACTGATCGCAAGGAGGGCTTTATTGTTAGAAAACTCCAGCACGGTCTCAGCTCAATGGAGACCTGGTGTGAG